AAAGAAAAGAAAATTGGGCTTGATGTAGTCTTTTTTTTTTTTTTTTTGGTTGTGGTACTGGGGATTGAATCAGGGACTTTGCACTGAACTACATTCCAGCCTTTAAAAAAAAAATTTTTTTTTTTTTGGTATTGGGGTTCAAACTCAGGACCTTGTGCTTGCCAGACAGGAGCAGTGCCACTGAGCTAAATCCCCAGTCCTTCAAGTTTTGTGTTTTTCTTGAGAATGCCCTGGAACTCACTATGTAGCCCAGGCTGGTCTCCAACTCACAGTGATCCTCCTGCCTCAGCCTCCCAAGTCCTGGGATTACAGGCATTCACCTCCCCGCCTTTCAAGTTTTTTTTTTTTTATACACGATCTTACTGAGTCCCTAAACTGCCCATGCTAGGCTGGATCTTGGGATCCTCCTGCCTCAGCCTTCCAGAGTGCTGCAATTACAGTCACGTGCCACCATGTCTGACTGAACTTAATGTGCTAAATTATTGTTCTTGTTAGTAATTAGTACAAGATCTCTATTGGAAGAAAAGAGAGGTTTGAAGCTCATAAAAACAAGTTGTAGACTCTAGAAAAGGAAACTCAGAAGAACACATGAATGATGTTCTTGGTTGGAATAAAGAGAGGAATACAGGATTAGGTCATGCACTGAATTTGTCAACTCATTTTCTTTTTGGCACAGGGAGTGGCAGTGTTTTTTTTTTTTTTTTTTTTTTTTTTTTTTTTTCTAAACTCAGGACCTTGCACTTGTGAGGCAGGCCTACTAGCTAAATTTTGGGAGGTATATTTATAGAGAGGACCAACAGCAGAGAAAGCCCTGGATCGGGATAAAATAGTTTTCCAATACTGGTAAATGGCCCAAAGAGAAAAATAAGAGTTTTGTGAAGCCAAAGAAGATGAAAGTGGAAATAATTAGCAAAAGTGAGAAAGGAATTAATTGATACTAAAAATTAACACTAAATTTTCACTCAGATTTCTAGAAGAAGGAGTTGTAGACTACAAATACTTAAAAGGATTGTTTTGTGTGATGTGTTTACTTTGATTAAAAATGACAGCTGACTTTTCTCCTTCATGATGGAGAAAGCTTCTTTGTTATTGGCCTAAAATGTTTCTGATAGTCATTTATGTCTTTCTTTTCTTTTTTTTTTTTTTTTTCCTGTGCTGGTATGGAAGCGGGGCTGTTCTGACACTGAGACACATTCTTAATCCTTTTTATTTTTTGAGATAGGGTGCTCTAAGTTGCTGAGGCAGGACTGGTTTTGGTCCTCCTGCTTCAGTCTCTCTCCATGCTAGGATTTCATTTGTGTGCCACCATACCTAGTTTCATGTATGTCTTTATTCTTTGATTTCTGTTGACCCCTGAGCATTCTTTTTGGATAGTTTTGCTTCCTTGGAAGAATTCTGGCTGGAAAGTTAGCCTGGCAAATGACCAGAGTAGCTCTAGCTCCCATTATAAGCCAAGAACTCCCTCAATAGTTGAACCCTTTTTGTGAGAAATGACTGAGTCTTTCTGATGTAGTCAGCTGTTAGTTTAACACTGAAGAATAGGGTTTCTGAGCTAGCAAAGGAAACTTCAGTGAGGCTCTTTTCTCAACAGTTGACTCTAGGGAGCAGAGGGTAGGTGGTAAACAGAGATGGTGGAAAATGGTTTATGGTGTACAGTAAGGGAGAGAGTAAGGGAGGGAGATGGGAGATGGGGGCAGAACACAAATAAGTGGTAAGAAAGAAAATGATGAAGGGAAGCTAGCGTAGAAAGGAACAGGAAATGCTGTAGGGACAGGGGAACAACCCCCCACCCAATTGATCCCATGGTCTTCAAGCTAGTTACATCCCTGGCCCTGGCCCCCTTTTTAGGATAGATTCTTACTAAGTCCCTAAGTTGTCCAAGCTGGGTTCAAATTTGTGGCTCTTTTGCCTCTGCCTCTCAGAAGGCTGGGATTATAGGCACATGCCACCATGCCTGGCTAGATGGACATATTTTGTTTTTTGCTTTTGTTCTTTTGAGACAGAGTCTCATAAAGGCCTGCTTTGAGGTCACTGTGTAGTCCAGGCTAGTACACTCTCGGTGATCCTGCTGCTTTATCCTCCCTGGGCTGGGAATTCAGGTATGTATCACCGTGCATGGCAAGGGCATATTTTGAAGGTAGGAAAGGAAACAATGGAAAGCAAAGGGTAGAAGGCCTAGAGTACACTCTAATCAAAAGCCCACAGCAGAAACAGATGGCAATTTGGCCTCTGTTCTCAAAGAACCCTGGGAGTGCAAACTTCCTGTGGCTGCCATGCAGCAATTTGATGTAGTATAGGAGGAGCATTTCTCATTATTATTTTGGTTTTTTAACACAAGGTGTTGCTGTGTAGTTCAGGCTGGCCTTGAACTTGCTATGTAGCCAGGCTGGTTGGTGATCCTTCTGCTCCAGGCTTTCTGAGTGCTAGAATTAAAAGTGTATGGAACCATGCCCACAGTATTGTTATTATTTTGAGACAAGGCCTTGAAAAATTGCCTAGACCAATCTCAACTTGGGTCTCTTCTCACCTCTGCCTCTTAAGTGCCAAGAATGCTGATGTGTATCACCACACCCTGCTGAGCATTGGACTTTAAATCAAAAGACATGGAGTAATACCCCATTTTAAGTGCTTTTCTTAACAATCATTGGAGAAGACATTTCTCTGAGCCTTAGTCTGCCTATCTCTTAAATGGGAACAGTCACTTAAGATTATTTTGGTGGTTATGTAAGTAATGTATAATGCAAATTCTCTGCTTTTATTCCTGTTTCATTTTTTTAGGAGATATAAATATACTTTTTAATATTCCCGATTAAAGCTGTATTTGTAGACTTTTGGATTTCCAGGAAATGTCTAGCTGTAGTTAAATATGTGATTAAATTCCACAGGAGGTAGACATAGGCCTTTGTGCGTTTGATTTGCATGCTTTGTAAATGTTAACACTGGCCTGATGGTTCAAAATCATTTCATACAACATTTGCAGAGTTTCCAGCTAACATCCTGTCCTCATTCTCCCTTCTCTTTATATGTATATATTTTTTTCTTTTTATATTTTTAATGTATAGTTTTGGAACCTATTTAGTGTACTTATCTGTGAGTAAATAGTGTAATCACATTGTAAAGTGATTGTAATTTATATTTCCAGGCCTTTTAAAGCTATTATATCATAATAATAAACCTTGCCTGTTTGAACTTACATAAAATAGAATTTTAGCTTCATTTTGAGTACTATAAATTTACATTTTTATCCTATATTCCAAAGCTGTTAATAGCTTAGTGACTGTGTATCACTTCTGGGCTTTTTTGTTGTTGTTATTGTTGTTGCTTCTATTTTTTAGAGACAGGGTTTCTGTGTAGTTTACATGGCCTTGATTTTCATTGTGTAGCCCAAGGCTGGTCTCAGACTTGTAGTGATCCTCTTGCCTCAGCCTTCTGAGCGCTAGGATTACAGGCAAATGACACTGTGCTTAGCCTAAAAGTATGTGATTTAAAGCTGTAGTATTTTTATGTAGTGTTGGTTTAGACAAAGCTCTTAGGTGGGTCACATAGGCAACATTTTAATAAATTTTTAAAATTTGGTCTCAAATGTATTTTGATTCATGTGCTCTATAATTTTCCCTTTCCTTTCTTGGCTGTAGCTTGAGCTTTGCATTTACTCACTGCTAGAAATTATATACCAACTTTTAGTGGGTAGTGGTGATCAGAGGAGGGGGTTTGGGAGTTGTGCAGTCAGCAGTCTTTGCCAGAGAGGCAGAAGAGCCACCCTTTTAAATAAATTCTTCTATTAAGGGATGGGCAAAGACTAGCATCATAGCAGAGATGGCTTGCTACTTGAGAAGGCTAATAGATTGCAAATAATTTTTTTTTCCTGGTACTGGGGATCAAACCAGGACCTTGAGCTTACAAAGCAGGTGCAGTGCCACTGAGCTAAATCCCCAGTAAGAATTTTTAAGTTGTAAAAATATTGGCAGCTAAGCATGGTTATATCTATAATCCCAGCACCCAGCTGAGGAAGGAGGATCAGTCCAAGTATGAGGCCAGCCTGAGCTATGAAGTGAGTTCAAGATCACCCTGAACTATATAGGGAGGCCTTTCTCCAAAAAACACACAAAACAAACCCTAACAATTTGAATTACAGTTTTTTTTTGGAGCCACCGTGCCTGGCAAATTATAATTGTTTTAAATAATCTTTTTCACTTAATTCTCAATATTGATATTTTTTTAGTAACAGTCTTGAATTCAGTAAGTTGAAGTCTAAAGAGATTGTTATGCTGTGGGTAAGAGAGAACATTTAATGATAGGTAAGGTTTGGGATATGTGCTGTGTTTTGCTGCTCTGGTTTTGGGGTTCTGGCAGACTTCTACTATGGAAAAATGTTGGCGCCAAGCACAATGGTACATCCGTGTAATCTCAGCACCCTGTCAGCCTGAACCAGGTGGACTGCAAGCTTGAGGCCAGCCTGAGCTTCCTAGTGAGCCCCCGACCCTACCCGTGTTGCTCAGTGGAAGAGAGCCTTTCTAGCGTGCAGTACTAGTTTCAGTCCCCAGTACTGCAGGGAGTGTTGTCGGGATTCTCTGTTACAGCGTGTGTGGTGCTCCCGTGAGATTTATCAAAGACACAAAGGGTTGGGTGGGATGGGTCCCCTTGTTTATAACCGGTCACAGCTGGAAACGATGAGCACTGTGATCTTTTGATTTACTAACAGTGGTCAGTTTACATAATCACCTTCAAACATCATTGTCTTAAGTTAAAATGTATAAAAGTGGCTAACAATTCATGTGAATGTTTTTTTAAAAATATATTTTGAACATAAAAGGGAATTGGGGGGATAAAGCAGGGATTATTGCTGAGCCCTGATGATGACGAAAGGTAAGTGGATATTTATCTCAGTCACTTAATTTTTGCTGTTTGTCAGTATCTGAATGTAAATGAAGGTTTTCAGATGAATGTAAAATTCAAGATCCTGAGTTGAAGCTTTTCCCTCCTCTATTCTCAACACCTAGGTACGTTCAATGGATGAACTGAATCATGATTTTCAAGCACTTGCTCTGGAGGGAAGAGCAATGGGAGAGGTGAGTGAGCCGAAATATCAGAAAAGTGGGTCTGTCTTTAAGGGAAGGTTGTCTTTCATCAGATGTGTCCAGATCTAGTCTCCAGAAGTATGTGCTTGCTCTTCCTTGTTACCATCCTCATGACAGGAATGGGATGCTGGAGAATTTTGCCAAAAGTATATTATTATTGGAAGAATGTTAACTTTGCCTAATGACTGAAGATCAAAACAAAACAACCAAAATGTGAGCATAAATTATTAAATATAAACTGAAACTGAGTACAGATTATTAATAATTCAGCCATAAACTGAGGCATTAAAATTTTAAAATATTTTAATTTTATATTTATTAAATGTCTTCTTCACCTTTGCCTTACTTTCCAGTGGTTAGGTTCTTTGGCAGTTGGAAAAGGAGCCTTAATTTGGCTGCTAATCAGAATATGTCAGTAACCTATTTTAATTTTATTTACCTATTTATTTTTTTGAGACACGGTCTCACTATGCAGTAAAGGCTGGCTTGAACCCACTATGTATATATAGCCTGGGCTGGCCTTGAACTCCCAGTGACCCTCCTGCCTCAGCTTCCCAAGTGCTGGGATTATAAGCTTGGGACCCAGTTGCCTGTAATAACCTAGAGTACTGCCTTTTAAAAGGAAGTTACTTAGTGCTGTGTTTTAAAGGGAGGGGAGGCTGTTAGATTTCTGGTCAAATAATTTCAAAGGATGGACATTTGAATCACTTATCTCTTAGAAAGAATTCAAATATAAGAATTTTGCCATGTTTAAAATTTGTAAAAACATTTGCTTTCGACCATTTTATATATATAGGCAGGGTTACCATGATTCTAAAAGAAAGGAGCTTATCGTTAGCTAAAGTAAAGGCAACCTCTTGTGATTCTAGTTGTTGATAAGGAAGTATGTATTGACGATAAAGATAGTGTGTGCAGTTTGAATTAATTCTTTAAGATGTCACTGGTTCACAAGTGGGGCATTTGTGGCTTTCATTCTGGAGAATAAGTTAGCTTTTCTCTTCTGTTTTTATGTCTAATATTTAAAGCTCCCCTAAATATTTTAAAGGAGGGAGAATTGCCATACTTTTATTTTTCTCTTATATGTGTACCATCCATTAGATATGTTTGTCCTTTGTTTCAGCAAATATCATTTGATCCAGGCACTGTGCTAGGTTCTGAGGATTCAAAATTAAAGTGAATTCCTCTCCTGAGTTTATAACAAACATTCATTGATTGCCTTTTTGGTTAGGCAATGAATAGTTAAAATCTTTTGAGGTTTTGGCTAAAATTCCTTGTTCCTTTGCTATAAGCTGTTGCTTTGCCTCTGACTTTTCTGAATCATCTAGTGGTCAAGTGTCCTATCATCTTGGGCTCATGGGTTTTAAGAGATGATTAGTAGGTGTGCTAGTTTTAACTGTGCTTGCCTAATACAGAAATAAAGTATGTCAATAAACCATATGTGACAGAAGTTAGAACAGAAGACAGATTTGTTGAATTTAAGAATTGATAGAAAAACTACATTCATCTTATCACACTCCTATGATTCTAACCTGGTTTATGCCACTCAAAAGCTAATTCCAGGTTGGTTTTAAAAAATACAAAATATGAATAATCTGTTAATATTTTGTAAATACCAATTAATGGTCTTTCCTCTTGATTTCTCGCTCTCTTGCTCTCACCCTCACTCTTTGCTCTTTTGTTTTTTCTGAGCCAGGCTCACACTATGTATGTAGTTCAGGCAGGCTTTGAACTCACTATGTAGTGGAGGCTGGCTGTAAACTCAGGTGACCTTCCTGCCTCAGCCTCCTGAGTGCTGGGATTACAGGTGTATACCACTATGCCCAGCGATCCATCCTTCCTTCCTTCCTTCCTTCCTTCCTTCCTTCCTTCCTTCCTTCCTTCCTTCCTTCCCTTTCTTTCTTTAGACAGGGTCTCACTATGTAGTTGAGACTGACCTGGAACTCACTCTGTAGCCTAGGCTGGTCTCGAACTCGCAGCGATCCTCCTGCCTCAGCCTCCCTAGTGCTGGGATTACAGGCGTGCGCCACCATGCCCGGCTCAAGGCTTAATTTTAAATGAATAGTGAATAAAATTTAACAGAGGATAAGGTTTATTTATTTTATACTTTATTTTGTTATATTTCTGGGCATTGAACCCAGTGGCACTGTGTACTGAGCTATATCCACAGCTCTTTTTATTTTTTGTTTTGAAACAGGCTCTTGCTAAATTGCCTAACTACCTGGACTCCCAGTTTGTATATCTTCCCACCGCAGCCTCCTCAGTGCTGGGAGTACAGGCATGTGCTGTTGTACCTTAGAGGATAAATTGCATCACATTGTGGGTAAATTGTGATCAGTTGACAATGTTAAATTCTGTTCAGAAACGTTTTTTTCTTCCATAAGTGCCAGTTTCTGGTGTATCTATGTAGTTCCTCAGACCTGGGTAAAGGTCTGTCTCAATAAGTAAACAGTATGGTCAGTCATCACTGTGCCGCTCTGCTTTCTCTCCCCAGTATCTTGAGACTAGTAATAGTGGACATATTTTAACTGCTCTATTAGGCGGATGTAAGAGGCTTGCATGCATCCTCCCTCAGTACTACCAAGATAGCAGTTTCCTTATCTAGATAAGGAAAAAGGCCCAGAGAGTTGAGTTAATCTGCCCAGGTTAACAGTTGTAATAGAGCTGAGTTTCTGATCTACTCCAAAGCATGTGCTCTTTTTTTTAAAAAAAAATTTTTTTTCCAAGCATGTGCTCTTAATTAGAGTAAATAAAACCATTTTTTTGGTTAAAAATAATTGAGAGGCAAAACATTTAACTTTAATATTTTCTTTTGTTTGTGAAACAGGGTCTTGCTATATAGTTCAGGCTGCCCTTGAACTCCCTGTATGGCCCAGGCTGGCCTGGAATTTGTAGTGATCCTCTTGCCTCAGCTCCCTAGTGCTGGGATTACAAGTCTGTGCCACCACACCTGGTTATTATTATTATTATTTTTTTTGCAGTACCAGAGACAAAACTCAGAACATTGCACTTGCCAGGCAGGCTGTGGTGCCACTGAGCTACATCCCGGGCCCCCGCACCCAGTTTTAACAAGCTTTTATAATAAAAATCTTAAAAGTACAACTTTAATTATTTCATTATTTTTCAACCTATTTAGCAGCTGAATGCTTCTAGTAGGTATTGTATGTAAATGCAGTGTTTACCAATATAATCATTAAAGTTTCAAGTAAATTTAATGGACTTTTAAGCCAGGCACAGTGCATTTTATTTGCAGATATTTTATGTGTGTTTGTGTACATCCTGTGTGTGAGTCCTCACTAGGGGACTCGCTAGGGGAAACAATGTTAATGTACAAGAATGTATGAATCTTTAGATTTCAGATTTGGTTCTGTCCAAATTAATTTATAACACTTAAACTACACTTTAGACCGCGTTCTCTAATGTCCAGCTGTTCTTAGCTGAAAGACTGTTTTACTTGCCTCCTCCTTTAGAAAAGGCAGCATGAAAAGGAAGATAGGCAAATGTCTTTGGATCAGACCACAAATTATTTAAAAGTATTTAAATGTGTTCCTTGTTGGCTCCTTTCATTTATCTAAAAATTTTTTTTCACCTAAAAAAAATTTGTTTTTGTTCTATTTTTTTGACACAGGGCCTCACTATGTAGTTGAGATTGACCTGGAACTCACAGTGATCCTCCTGCCTCAGCCTCCTGAGTGCTGGGATTACAGGAATGAGCCTCCATGCCTGATTTATAAGACATTTAAAAGATACTCTTTAGAAGGGCTTCCCCTTATGATTTTTGGCGATTTCTATAATATTTATTTATATGTTACAAGGGATCGCACTCAGGACCTTTCGCTTTCGAGGCAGGCAGCAGCACCATTGAGCTAAATCCCTTGTCCTGTAATTTTTAATTAAGTTCTTTTAAGGGACTAATTCACCAGTTTGTAGCTTCCTAAGACACTGATCTGTGTATCTGTGTGAGTTGGCAGTTCTGTAGTCAAGGCAAGTGGCCTAATGTGGAGGCCAGATCTGTGAAATTCTTGTTCATATCTATTATGAATTGGAGAATTGGAGGCTTTTGGTTGGCTAGAAGTACTTACAGAGTCAGTCCTGAAAGAACTACCTTACTCTAGCAATTCCTTGTAAACAAAGTCCCCTCAAGCAACTCATTTGAATACAAAGTGAATAAGCTGTTAGAAAGGAGGTATATGTCTGTCACTGAGATCATGTAGCCTTTGCTGGAGTGGGGAGGAAAGGTTAATAAAGCAAAGCCTTAAGATGTATTAAACTTTTGAGTACAAATAGCAGTGGTTTAAAAAAAAGTCCCCTATTCTCTTAGTTGTGTATTAATAATCCCATTCAGTTTTGGGACATTTTTGACATCTTGTGCTTAAAAGTTTAGGAAAAACATAGCTAGCTAGGCTGAGCAGGCTCAAGGAATAAGATATTAGTAAATGGCTTACTTGTATTTGGTTAATGATGAGATGTTAGAGGTGAAATGACTTTTCTATGAGTATTGTTTGTGGAAGTTCTTGGGACCTCATAATAGTTTTGGAATTGAATATTTTTGAGTAATACAATTGGGGAAAATATCTTCTCACCTAGAATTGTGGAGGTATCTGTGTTTGGAATCTACTCCTTAATTCTGGCCTGTCATTTTGAGACTTAGGTACAGTCTTATTCATTCCAGTATCTGCTTTCTAGTCTGCACTAAGGGGACTAGGCAGATCTACCACTGTTTACATGGATTTGTCTTGAAATGATTGAATACAGCAAAAATATACACTTGTTAATAAGGGGAGAGATGATTCACCTACTGCCTGATCCACGTTCATTAAGTTTCTACTGTTCTGGCATCTTTTGGCTAAAATGTTATCTTTGATTTGAGGACTAAGCTTAAGGATATAATTTATACTTTTCAGTGTCATTTTATGGTGTAATTGATAGTATTTATATGAATCTCCCAGTAGGTTTTTAAGGGATATTATTTATTTTTTTTCTTTTGTGGTACA